AGTGCTGACAGGCTTAAGCGACACGTATTATCAGAATGAGGACAACACTGGAGGCAGGAGCAGCTGGCTGGGGCTTACTGGCCTGAGGACCTCGCTGAGGATGCTGGGCCCAGGGCTGCCTATACCAAATGGGTAGCCATCCATTAAGCAGACCTCTCCGTGTTAGGCTCCACCATCTGCCTTGATAGCAGTGTGCAAGCTGACTGTGTGGCAGCAATGAAAGCTCTGATCAGAACCCAAACCAGCCTTCACCTGTTCACACAGGACCATTTGGGATGCAGGAACCTACATCTATCTAATTGCACTTCATAATGGATCCCACAAATCATTAATTATCAGATTATACTTTAGGAACTAAAGATAAAAAGTTTTGTGAAGTTCAGACTCCCAAGGATCACTGACTGGAGGTCACAGTGGTAAAACCACAGCAGCAGGCCACTCACAGGCAGAGAAGCCCATGGCAGGAGCCACGCTGGGGCCATCATGGCTGCTATTCCACATGTCTGGGCACAAGGTCCTAAACTACATTGCATGACATGCTCCAGAGCAGAGAGCAAAACTTCCCAGGCCAGGCAGCCTCTGCTAGGGGAACGACCTTTTAGGTATTGATCACCGTGTAGAAAATCCTGGAAGGCAAAGCCTGGCTTTGTAGTTGAGTGGCCTCACATTACACACTTCCAGCAGAAACACTCCCAAAGCTTTGCTCTGGGAAAGGCCGACTGTACTGACACTGGAATTAGGTGTGGAAATGTGGGCTTCCTGTACTGTTAACACTGCTATGTGTCCCACTGCCACTGGGAGGGGTGCTGGGTACAGACTGGATAGAGGACCCGGGCAGATGGAAGATGAAAGAAGTGAGGAAGGGCCAACTGTGCTTAAGGCTGGGTTCTTGGAGGGTCTGCTGGTTCTTCTCTCTTGTTTTTAAATGGCCAGAAGGCACTGGCAGTGTATGCAGCCTTGCTCTGTGGGCCACAGTCCTACACCTGACTGCCATTCTGCATACTGAGGGCTGCCAGCACACCATACCATACTCTCTGGTTGCCTTGGTCACCAGCTCCTATCCCACCGCTCCTTCAGCCTACATTTTAGAAGTGATACTTCATTTGGGGATGAACAATGATAGACACCAAAGCAGCAGGCCTGTGAGGAAGCAGCCAGGCCATCTTCCTGTCTGTGATGGAGGGCAGTGGTACTGGTGTCAATGACTTGGACACCGTTGGTTCCATGAGAACACTGAAGCTTCTATTTTCCCAGTGAGGCCATTTTGGTTGATGCTAAGGCAAAGATGCTCATGACAGTTGGAGAAGGAAGGCAAGCACAAGCTTCCGCATGTTCTCTGGGGCCATTCCAGGACCCCACCCGGTAGGTGAGCAGCCACTCACTTTGCCTCACTGTAGATCAGGGTCACGGTCCCATCTAGCAAATCCTCCACTGTCACTGCCACGAGCTCAGAGCCGGTCTGAGATGTCTGGGAATCTGGCAATGTCACAAACACCTGGGACTCAGCAAGCTGGGTCTCCTCCAAACTGATCACCTGTTCTGCTGGGGCCGCCGGCTCTGGAGTTTGGATCACCTGTGAGGGAAAGACCATGAGGCTGCTCTAGGCAGTGGCCACAGTTAGCTAGCTTCCCAGAATTTACATAGCTTTCATCTCATGCTGTAATGATGATATTTATGTTTTTACCTGAGGAGAGCAATTACATGTGCCTAATGGGAAGAGGCAAGTCTAACACACCAGTGATGCAAAAGAGAAGGCAGGCAAACAATTTAAATAACCCTGTGCACTAAATTGCTATAATTTCGCTCAGTATGCCATCTCGGGGTGCCCAGGCTCTATGATTACACACCAGTGAACACTGGCTCAGGTTTCTCGCATTGGTCCTTCCTGTCTTGAGGATTACACTGTAGTGGGAAGTGCCATGTGGAAGGAATGCTACTGAAGGCGGCTGGTCTCATGCTCTGAAACATGGAAACATGAATGATTTTCCAAAATCCTGGGCTTGCCAAGGATAATGTCTCTAGACTGCTAGTCAGACCAGGAGCTGTCCCAGGAGGGCACCTGGCTATCGAGCTCAGGAGGAAGAAGGGGTAGATGTGCTATGACTTTATCAACATGGTCATTTGGCTCATCAGACTGGTGGGACAGGCAGTTGAGACATGCTCCTTCCAAATCGGTATAATATGTTAACTATGTGACCTTCCCACCTCAGCGAGAACTATTTTGGGGTTAAGCACACCCAGTTCCTGCCTAAATTTCCAAGTGGATACTTCTGACCCACGGCCCCCAGGACAGCTTGATGTTCCTGCCCCAGAGGTCACAGCCACCCTGGCTCTTGAGAACTAGCTAGGCAGGAAGAGCAGGGCACTAAACTTAAGAGGCTGGAAAACAGGGAAGCTGAGCTCAGGTATTCTCTGTGTGCTATGACTACAAAGGGATCAATTGTGATGTTCAATCAGAAATTATCTAGGACAATAGTTTTCAAACTTTTTTTTTTTTCTTTTTCTTTTAGCAATGAAATTCTCACCCAACCCACCCCCACCACACGACATCTTACCAAGAATCCTAGTATATAAGGAAGATAAACGCACAGCTGGTCTAGCTGATAGCGTAGCAGGAAGACTACCTGGAGTCCTGCCCAGCTGACCTCCTCTCTGCTTTCATGGAGGCCTTAAAGAGCATGGCTTACAAAGGATTTAGCTGTGGAACTGGACAGTGGGACAGCCCAACCAACTAGAACTTCAGCACAGTTTACAGCTCCCATCCAATCCACCACAAATTACTGATGACTGGTAGAAATGAATCTGTTCTCCTTTTCTGTCCACCCTCTCTGAAGAAGATGGAAGAGCGTTCCAACAGGGAAACAAAAAAAGATTCTGGGTCAAGCTTTGCCTTAAAACATAATGAAGAGGTGAGCTTTTCACCCAGATAAAGGTGAGAGGCATGTTCAACGGGGTACTTTGCCCAGCACAGATGATCTACTAAAATGCTTCCTCTGCCCATCTAAGCTCATCCACTTTTCTCCAAGGTCTCTGCAACTCTCACCTCATCACACAGTAGTTCTCCAAAGGTAGGGAAGGGTGCAAAATGGGAGAGAAAAACCATGATTCTTCTACTTTTGGAAGTTCTGTTTCAGGTTCCCTCTACCTAGGGACCATTCCACATCTGGCCACCAAAAGGTCCAGAGAGACTCTTCTAAGAGATCCTCTTGGCTATGAATGTGTTACTGTAAGGACCTTTTGAGAGCTCCAAGAAGAAAGCCTATATGTTGAAACAGAGCCAATCCTAGAGAAGCCTGAGGAACTCTGTGTCCACACTCTGGAGTGAATGGTCCCAGAAATACCTGCACCACCTGTGAGGCTGCTGCTTGGGTTTCGGTGCCCATCACCTTTGGGTGTTCAGATTCTAAGTGACCATCAAGCTGGGTCTGGGAGGTGAAGAGCTCCCCACAGAGCTCACAGGGGAAGGTGGTCTCTGACTGCTTGAAGTGCTCTGTGGTGACGTGATGCTGCAGTGCTCCGGGGAAGCGGAAGGTGGCTGCACAGTACAAGCACCTGAATGGCTGGGATCCTGGAATGGAGAGACAGAAGGGATGAGTTGTGAGTGAAATGACTGGGAGAAGCAAGAGCAGGGGGAGTTGAGAGGAAGGAGTGAGAATGGAAGTGCAGAGGCAGATCCACGTTTTTCAGGGTAAGCTCATACAATGTGTGGGACCCTTTTGAGGAAAGTAATACAAAATTACAAACACAGAATTAGGTGCAGAGTCTTGGAAGGGCCCCATGCAAGTGAGGGGCCCTGAGCTAATACTTCATTAGCATTGGTTTCAGGCTAAATCTGCCATTTTTCACTGTAGATAATGGTTGTGATGATAACACTGTTTTTCATCAAATCTATGAAGTGTATTTCAACATCTCTGAAATCAATGGCATCTTGTGACGCTACAGATAGGTGGCAGCTGGGTCTAACTGTCAATCATCGTGCATGCATGAACATCAAAAGTTTCAGCATCAAGACTTGGAGCTTGAGGGCCCATGGCTTGGGAGAAAATCCTGGACACAGGAGTCGTGCACATTTTTAACTCAGGAATGAAATGATTTGAGGGTGATGAATCAGACATGTTCAGCCACATTCCCAAAGAGGGAACCAAAAGTAGACAGTTTTACATAATGTACAAGAGACCAAAGACAATGGTCTTTAGTTTTTTTTTTTTTTTAATGCATTTTATTGAAATATAATTTATGTACAGTGAAATACACAAAACTAAAGTGACATGGGTCAGTGCATTTTTTTGGGGGGGCAGTGTTCTCTCTCCTCCCCTTCCACTCCTGGTAACCAACAAAGAAAGTTCCCTTCCATATATAAACCTTTCCTTTTTACAATAATGAACTAATACTATATTTGTCCATCTGTGATTGGCTTCTTTTACTCAGCATAATGTTCTCCAAGTTCATCCATGTTATGTGGTGTTATGCAGATTCTACATTATTCTTCAGGGTTTCATAGTATTCCATTGTGTGTATGTACCACAATTTGGTTACCCATTTTCTGTTGATGTGCATGTAGGTTGTTTCCATCTTTTTTGCTATTGGTAAACAGTGCTGTGATGAACATGGGTGTGCATATATCTGTTCTTGTTCTGGCTCTTGCTTCTTTAGGATATATACCTAGTAATGGGATTCCTGGGTCAAATGGTATTTCTAATTTCAGCTTTTTAAGGAATTGCCATACTGTTTTCCACAGTGGCTGTATCATTTTACAGTCCCATCAGCAGTATATGAGAGTCCCAATCTCTCCACATCCTTGTCAGCATCTGTCATTTTCTGTCTTATTGCCACTAGTGCTCAGGTGAGATGGTATCTCACTGTTGTTTTGATTTGCATCTCCCTGATGGCCAATGATCGTGAGCGTCTCTTCATGTATTTGCTGACTGCCTGAATATCCTCTTTGGTGAAGTGTCCATTCATTTCTTCTGCCCATTTTTTAATTGGATTGTTAATCTTTTTGTTGTTCAAGTGTTGGAGTTTTCTACAAATTTTAGAATA